CGTTTTCCTTTCCCCTTTCCTTTTCCGTTCTCTTTTCCCTCTTCATTCCTTTCCCTTTGCCCTTTCCTTGTCCTTTTCCTCTTCCGTTTTGTTTGCTTTTCCACGTTTGAGCTTTGTTCTTTTTGAGTTCAATTTGAGTCTTTTTTTGAGCGTGTCCCACTGGAATTTAAGGTTTAAAAAGTTTCCCTTTCCGTGTCCATTCCCTTTCCACTTCCTTTTCATGTGCCTTTTCCTTTTCCATGATCTGTATGCAAAAAACATTTTATAAATACAGATCCTGCAAGATTAAATGGCTAGGAGAAAATGGCTAGCCACCACGTACCCCTCCCATTAACCATTTAGTTAGGAGCCATGATAGCCATGATACACATTCGTTTGTATCCACCAACTCACTCAGCGTGGCTCGTGGCTCGTCAGAACTGCCGCGGCTCGTGCAATTCAGCTAGGTGGAGAAGGTGTTTTCAAACGCATTGAATCATGGATGTGGAACAAATAACATAGGAAAACAATGTTTCTCGACCAACCAACGTGTCATTTTTGCCGGTGATTAGCATGCTTTTGACTTCTTCCAGTGTACGAAAACAACAACAGTTGGAGAGACCCGAATCAGCGGATTCTACCTAGTTTTCGAGAGTCTTGGAGCGGCCATCAACGGACCTTCTTTCCCCCACCTACAGCTGCTCTCTAGATCGTTGGCTTTCGACTTGCCAGTTTGTCGCTGTTTGGGGTCGCCCATCTGCCAGAACCTTCCGTTCGGAGTCACCCAGAGAGTGTAGGTTACACTCAAAAAGCGGATTTTCATGGACAGCCCGGCTGCAGATCTCGATCTCTTCCCGTCCGCGAACAGCCCATCCCCGCGATCTCGAACGCCCGAGCTGCTCCCAAGTGATCCTCTTCAGTGACATCTTTCCGCTGCATGCCAGCCACCTGATGCGGAAAGGCGTCGAAGCATTGACATATTTGAGAATGGCTTTTCAAAGATGTGAGAATATGTGAATGATGTATATAATCTGAGTTCTTTGGTGTTCCTCTCAAACTCTCGTAGAAGCCCCCCTTCTTTTTGGAATGTGGGATTTTGAATTCAAGGGACCACCTTTGATGTTCTTCAAACGCGAAACATCATCATGTGCGGACAGACGATGATAGACGAGGCAAAACCTCAGTGCCCTACAGTCGACGTTTTTTCCGAGTTGGCTAACCCATGACAACAAAAGACATCTATGACACAAGCTCAACTATGGTGTTTGAGGGTCATAATCAACTTGGAGTAGAGAACAAACTCAGGTAGCTCCAGGATCTTCTATAGCATTGTGACACTTTGCTTGCAGTCTCATTTGCTTGCAGTGTGACACTTGCAGTCTATGATATCCTTCAATCTAGTATTTTATTTCGCTTGAAGCATGTTGGTTGACAATCAATGGCGGCAGCAGGATATGTTTGGTTAAACTTCAACCTTCTAATTCAACTTTCGTGGTAGGTACCATCTCAACCAAAACATCACCCCAGTCAATCACCGGAGGTGCACCTTCCTTGGAGAACACACACTCGAGCTCTGGGGCGCTTGGGCTGAAGTCTGGGGTCACAAAAAAAAACACACTTGTAAGAAGACACACAGCTCTCATCTATGCTGGACATTGTGGGATTGCCTTCCTTCAAACGAAGCAAAAAACACACACACACACACAAACCGAGCTGGACCAATGGGTGACCACGCTGACGCAAGTCCATCTTTCTGAAACCGACTGTCCCATTGGGACCCAAACAACCTTCGTCCGAAAAGAATGAATGGCCCATCATGGCCCAACCTTCGAACGAAAACGTCTCCTTCAGTCACGAACGGCTCGAACCGCTCAACTTCAAGCCCCCCCTCCTCTCTTAAGCCGCCACGACCGTCTCCGTCTCCCTCTCGCTCCGTTCTTCGCTCTGTCGCTTGTTCCGCCGCGCTGTCGCGCTGCCCCGAGGCGCCAGGACCAACTGATCAGCGTCGAAGGGCCAAAGCTCCAAGAGACGTCCCACCTCGGAGCGGACCGCGGAGCGGACCGCGGAGCGGAGCGGTGGGACCGGAGAAGTGGACAACGGGTGGACCTCGGTGACGGGTATGCGAATGGTGCTCGTTCTTGAGTACATGAAATCTATAGTGGTCACCAAATAAATAGTGGCATCTATATAATGACGGCGGTCTTACGGTCTTGTACAGTGTTTTTGATCTGGTTTTTCCGGATGATCTGAGGCTGAGCGAGCTAAAAAGGCTTCTTTTTGAGGAACACCTCGCTGTTCGTCGCTCGGTGCTACTTCCGCTCGGGGGGCGCGGACCGTCCCCGGGGGCGACGATGGGGGGATGCCCAGATGCTGAGACGCCCAGGGGCCCGGTGTTCCTATCTGTTCCTGTTCTGTAGACGGTCCTCCGAGAGGTTTTTTTTCCAGCAATGACTGACCAATGGTTGCAAAAGGTTGCAGACCATGTGCACATGTGAGATTCGTTTAAACGATACACACATGGCAAATCATATCGGCTCTCGCAGGATGCAATATGGAACGATTATCTTGTGAACAGCTGAGTCTAGAGATTCTCTACAGGTACCGTACAGTCTCCACTGGTTTATGACACCTTCAAGCACAGTGTTCCCAAAGTGCCAGGTCTGGCATCTCATGACCCAAACGCGCTGCGTGCGAAGACCCTGAACCCTAATTTCCGAATCTGATGGCAGCTGCAAACTTCACACCGCCTCCTCCCAACCTCTTTATTGCTCTCCCACTTCCACCAAAGGGCACGCGCTTGGAAAATATCCTTTGGAACGGAATCCATGCCCGGCGCGACAAAGAAAAAAACAGAGCGAGTTCTGCAATGATGTTTTGGAACAGGTACGACCCCCCAAACAGCTATGGGAGCTTTGATCTGGACGTTCTAGGATCTTCTTTCCTAAGCCAGGAAGATCACAAAAACGAGCTTGACACTTTTCTGCGACGATTTTTCCTATCTCAGGTGAAAAACATCTCATGGTTCAAAGCATGTGTTCGCAAAGGAAAAGTTCGAGGTTCTTGGTTTTCATCTATGGCCATAGTTAGAGCAGCTACATGAAAATCTTGACCGAAGAGTACAGCAGCTGCCTGTGCATTGGTGGTCGGAACCACTGGGCACTCTGTACTTGATGACCCACGACCTGATAACTAGCTTAGCTTCTGGAAGATCAGCGCTATTTCGGGCCCGGCCATGGTTCACAGTTCAAATGTTCAAATGATTCAAGTAGTGTCAGGACAATACTGTTGTTTTATGTTTTTTTTAAAATGCCCTGTTTGACGCAGGTCATTTGACCATTCAACTACCCCCTGATCACTTCTCAAAAGGGTGCTTCGACGCTCCAAACACCTCCGAGTTACAGACGTCGACAAAGGTTTCAGCCCTCCCCAAACCCCAAAAAGAAACCTCTTCCAGGAGTCACAAAGGTGTGCCAATTGGAGGATAGGGGTCTATCTACTCACTAGATGGGACTAAATACCACCCCAAGTCTTGTGACTCCTGCGTTCTCGTCTTGCATTGAAAAAACATGGTGCGTTCCCAGAAATTCAACCCAAAAGGACCGAGATTTCTTCGGCTGGACCAGCTGGGGTGGTTTACCACTCATGGGCAGACGGGCGCCGGTCTGGTCTGAACATCGAGGGAAGCTCTGACTGACTGGAAATTCCATGAGCACGTTGATCCATTATACAGTTGTACCAATCTCAAAGGTTCCATGTAAAATATGAGCCACATTCAGGTTGAATATCGGTGACCTACATGGAGGACCTGGGAAAAAAAAAAAAAAACACAGGACGGTATTCTCCTTGTCACCCCGAACACAGGAAACACGTCTACTTCTACCCTGACGCCCCTTATTTATGTTCAACCCAAATGACATTCTCCCACAGGAACCACCCCCACTGGTGTCTCCCCTGCGCATCTCTTCCCTTTTGCTGACTTTGTCCCGCTCGGGGCTCCTAGGTCGGGGACTTCCGACGAGGTACCATCACTGGCACTCGGAGCGGTCAGGAATAGAGGAGTGGTACAGGACTAACACCTTTGATTTGTTTGAACATATCAAACAGAAAGAGAGCACCCCTTTCAGTAGACGCGTCAATATACTTTCCCCGCTTTCAGTAGAAGCTCTGGGGGTCTTACTTTCCAAGTTGTTTCGATTTGGGCTCCAGTCACTCCAAACGCTGAAGCCGTTTACACCGGTATTGAGTTTTGAACATGAAACATGAAAAAATACAAGAGATGATGATTCCTAGATTGAAGACTTGCAACACGAAAAATGATCTGTTGACAACATCACCAAAGCCCAACATACAGTTGATGGTCAGCCTTGGATCTGTGGGTTGTATCCTGTCTGAATTGGTATTCTATCCGGAGCCCCCGGGGTAATTCATGGTCCTCTCCTAACCTTTTAACATGGGGAGACATCTCAAAGATCTAGAGGAACCGGCCCCCTACACTTTCAAACGCACAGCACTGGGACATGGACTGCAAAACGTCCCTTTTCCTCCCTTGAGAGCCCCAAGGTGATCGACCATGCTGATAAAACTCCTATAAAAGCACCATGAATTCTGTTGTCTTTCTATTCATTGGCGTCCTGGGTCCATATTGTGTTGGTGTCCGTCTCATTGGTGTTGGAAGAGCTGTTGTCAGGAGTGAACGTTAAGCAGGTGGCCAGCCTGGTGCAGCCTCTGAACCAGTCAGCCGAGGACTCATCGTCCAATCCCAGAGTCTGATCTGCAGTTCCCCAGAACCCCACGAACTGTGGGGCAACGGTCCCAACGAAGGCCCGAGGTAACGAAGGCCCTCACTGGTTTGTTCGTCAAAAAGGTGGTGTTTGGACCCGGACAAGAAAGAACGGACTGCAGAACTGTAGACTCGTAGGCCTTATACCAGAAACCAGGTACAGTGTCCTTCCGGAACTTCTGGTTGGTTGTCATCTGTCGAGACTACTCCCAACAACCTTTCTCCCCAAATCCTCAACTCCTCAACCGGCGAAGTCATCATCGTTGTCCTCTCCTGCAGCATCCACCAGCGTCCGTGACTCCGTGTCGACGGGATTCAAGACACTTCCCAGCAGGTTTAAAGAGAAATGAAAGGACATTAGATAGAATATGATACAGCTGCATATACAACTTGTCTATGTAAACATAGATGCAATTCATACAACTTTTCTAGTGCCCCCCCCCAAAGTCCAAATTGCTGATTGACCCTGCGCAACCTGCAGTCCTTTGGACCATACCCTTCGTCCGGATCCCGATCGTTCCAGGAGGTGTCCACCGTGTCGTGTCCAACTGAATCCACCGGATCAAGCGAGTCCGTGTCGTGTCGTGGCCAGTTCCTACCTTCAACTCATGAGGTTCCTGATGGTTCCGAGAGAATCTGTTGTTTCTTTCAACCACTTTCTTGTGACAGAATCTGTCAAACGTGTTGGTTCAACGATGGATCACAAATCACACTTCCATAAACCCCAGTAGGTCAAACCTTCAACGATGATGGTCATTGAACACCTGAACAACCTGATGTGGAACCAAATCAACTGCCAACCCGTTTTGGGGTGACCAGAATCGACCCGATCTTTTGAACCTCAGAACGTGGACTGTTTGGAGTCGATGGTCCGACCAAACGTGTTGAGGTCGGACACATCGAGGTCGGACATTGATGGTTCCACAGCTGTCCACCTACTGGATCGTGCCAGATCCAACGATCTACGAGGTAAGCAGCAAAAACGATCTGAACAAAACATTCCAAGACGTGAACATTTTGTTGGGAAGGATTGGCTCACGTTTGTGTCTTCTGTTTTGAGGATCAAAACCAACAAACATAAACCCTGGCTCGTTAGATCGATTGATTTGCTGAGGTCATAGCATGGTTCACCATGACAGTGTTCACCAACTTCACCCTGTTCAAATCAGTCAGGCAAGGTCCAAAAATACAACCCTCCCAGATGTAGCAACATTGAAATCTATTTGGACCTATTTGGCCCGGAAAACTCTTGACCAGGTGCAGGGCCCACCTAAAAACGCAAAGTTTTCCAAAACCTCCCTGATTCTGAGATACCTGGTCCCTATAGGGTCCCAAAAGGGGGTTCTGGATGGCACTATCTCGGCCTGAAGCGATGGAACCCCTGCTTCGACTTTGTTGCGAACTCGAACCATGGGTGTTTGCTTGACATTGCCATATTCAATTAAACAAAAAATATACTGCAAATCCAGTCCACCAACAATTTTCTTAGGGCAATGCATGGCCCACTCGCATTGCAAGACTTACCAGAGTCCTTCAACGACTTGCGACTTGCCCAGGTGCCTTCTTCAACGACTTCCTCCAAGAGGCGTCCCACTTGAGGAGACTCCAAGAGCATCCAACCATCCACCTCCTGCACAGCTCGCTCGGGTGGAGCCTCCACACCTCCAAACTCCATCCACTGGGTGCACAAGTGTAAACGCTAACATGTGACACCGTTCTTGATTTGTTCTGCCTTCAACACCGGTTCATCCGGAATTGTCACCCTCAAACGGAAGGCAACAAGACAAAGAGAGAGAGAGAGAGACAAAGAGTGAGAAAGGAAAAGGAAGACGAAGAAAGAGAGAGGAAGAGAGAGAGAGAGAGAGAAGAGAGAAGAGAGAAAAAGAGAGAGAGAGAGTCAGAAAGAAACTTAGAATGAACAAAAAACAAAAGAAAAGAGAGAGAGAGAGAGGGAGAGAGAGAGAGAGAGAGAGTCACCTGTCCAGAAGATGCCACGGAAATAGTGTGGCACCAGCTTTGCTGCTTTGCAATCTGTTCTTGCTAGCTGAGTCTCTTTCAATGTCTGTTCTGTCACGCTGACCGCCTAAAGACGAAAACCTGGGAAGGGGGAAACGAAAGCCAGGAGGCTGATTGTTCTCAGTCACCTTGAATCATCTGCATCATCAACCCAACCCCCTACAAATCATATATACCGTTGAAAAATAAAACAACTTTTCACCGACTGTCCCCCCCCACACCCCCTAAAGACTTAAAGACTCACTTTGTTCGCATAAACTAACTTCTGCCTAGCCTATCTACTATCTATCGACTGGCTTTCGAAATAACTTCAGCCTAGCCTATCGGCTGGCGTTCGTGATTTTGACTTGAGATTAGAAATCAACAAGAGAGAAGCATCGGACTCCAAAATCAGAGCCATCTCTGAGGTTGCCTGAGGCAACCTTTCATGATCAGCAGCCACCAATAAGATCGATAAGAACCGTCTCAAGGGAGGGTGCTGATATGTGTTGATACGTGTTGATGCACAATACGAAGATCTTGCAACCCTTCTTTATTGATTAATTCCTATATTGACTATACTATATCATAATCTGATATGTCAGGATTGCACGTATAACAGGGTCAATTTTCGTTAGTTCTGACATCCCATCCAACTCCCCCTCACCCATCATCGTCCTCCACGGATGCCACCACCCATCCGTCCCCCGTCCTGCATGCCGCCGCCGTCGGCCACGTCTCGGATCGCCAGAATGCGGATCCGCCGCCAGGCGTGGGTCTCGTCCCAGTCGTACATCTCAACGAGCCTGAGTCCGTCGGATCCCGATCGATCCGGATCCAAAGGGATCTCTCCACCGGTCGAAAATGGTCGGAAAAAGTGGGGCGGGGTCCGTCAGTATGGGGGCAAGTATTGCCAAGTATAGGGCATAGGCCGGGCATAGGGTTTTAGAGTATGGATACGCTAGTAGGAATAGTTGGATCTATGAGTTTGGGGGGATCGGCAGCCATGACAAGCTGCCCACCCAAACCTGCTTCGACCCGACAGAGATCGGGACCAAGGCCTTCCAAATCCACCGCTCCCTTGCTGCTCAGGAGCTCTCCCTGCGGCAACTGTCGGATGGCCTCCGCTTTCGTGTCCGGCCAACGGCGGACCGCCACCTGCACCGGGGCAAAACACACCTGCTGAAAAAGATCTGATATAGTATGCGACCAGGCCGTTCAGTGCCGTCATAATCTGTGGACACTTAAAGCTTGGTACTTAGCACCTTGGTCGTCAAGTCTTTCTTGCATGGTCGTTGCCATATGAGTAAAGGTCCGCCAGGCTGGGGCTCACCAAATCAATGCAGCTACGAAAATGCAGATCTTCCAAAACCGAAAGGGTGAGAAGTCCCTGATGATCGTCACATGCTTTGGTCAAACTTGCTTAGAAATACGGCCAGTTTCCCCTGAGAATTGGACATAATTGGAACTCCAACAGCTCTCACTCCTCCAGCAAAACAGGTAATATCATACATATTATACCGAAAAAACCGGTGAACTGCCTTACCAGCATATGCCCCCGTCTTCCATTCTCGCCTTCTTGTAGATCACTCGGTACCTGGTGCCCTGGACGTGCGGGACCTCCTGGACGTCCTGCGGAACGCCCGGCCCGGTGGAGCAAAGAATCCGTAACTCCGGAGCTTGGTCGAACAGGTGCCTTTCAGCGAACGTGAGCGAAGGTGTGACTCGGAGGCTCAGACGTCTGGCCCATTTGGTAGAATCACCACATAAAAAAATGATAAGCAAGTATAAGAAGAATGTCTGGCACCATGCCTCAAAAGCGTCAAATTTGATACATCAGAACAGTATGGATGGATGGAATCATTAAACACTAAGCAAACAAAAATGACACAACACATTGCAAAAGGAGAAAACAAACAATTTAAAGATCAATCCTTAATCTGAAAAAAAACGGATAATATGTTGGAGGCTCCGTCTCTCATGGCGCCAAAAGCGCCGAAAAACACCACAGCCCTGAATGAGCCGATGCCTCTTGAAACATCGTGAAGGTAATTCATGACAAAGTAATATCATGTAGACATGTAGCGTCCTTGCTTCTAGTAGCGATGCCCTTTCCTCCTAGTAGCTTCTTGCTCCTAGTAATATGGCCAGGAGCCCCTAGTAGCGTCCTTGCTCCTACTAAAGCTTGAAACAACCATTGACATCTTTTCTTGGTCCCAATCCATGGACACGTTTCTTGGTCATCTCAGACTCCTGACCACATTTGGCACATGACCTCAATTGATCTCTTCCAAACGCCGCACCTGTCACCCGCAGCATGTCCACCGGCGCACACATTCCCTGGTGATGTCCTCTGGCTCTGGATGGTGCTCCTCGTCGCCGCCCTGGCAGAGCATGAGTGAAGTGATTCGATTCTAGTCGTCTCCCACCAAAACTTCCAAGTGCCCTTTGGAGGATTTGAAGGCCTTTTTTTGACCACCAAAAGTTCCCCTTACAAAGCCTATAGTCCTATAGGCTTTAATTTGACAGAACCTTGTCCCCAAAAAAGTGGTCGATGTTTGTCCTCTGACCATGCAGGTGTTGTGGGCCAAAATGCAGGTACGCTGCAAAATGTTGGGTGTAGGAGTTGCACCCGCAGTTTGTTGGGTATGGCTCCACAAATCAGCGCGTCTCAACAAAAGTGATACAACATGTTGACAAACTGTCAATCCTCATCCGGTCACAAAAGTTCTGCAACGACATGGAGACAGAAGTGTGTTATTTTCTACACGGTAGCAAGCAGCAATCGAAGTACACCACACGTGAAACCAACAATTGACAATTAGGGGGTTCTCGGCAAGAAGTCTCCACCTCCGGGCAAAAGGAGGTGCTGGTGTGGAGTGTGGAGCAAAAGGTTGAGATCAGCCCTCTGAGAGACCTCTCAACCTCACCACAAGACTTCAAACCACACACAAATTCCTTTGAACCATTGTGACAGCTCGCAGATACTGCTTGATATGGAAGGATCAGTAATTACACAAGCAAGTGGTGCCCAAAGAGTCTCCCAATCCAGCTGCGGCATGTCTGTGTCCGAGAAAGATCAGGGCAAGCTTCGAGGAGCTCAGGGATGAGCACAAACTTCAGCACACAGGTGGTTGCCGCGCTCAGGGATCGCCTGAGCTTCCTGGGCCAAAGTCCGGAAGTCGGCCACCAAAGAAGCCACAGCGCTAGGGCCGCTAGGATTGGCAAATGTTGGCAAGGCCACAATTGAAGACACGCTTTCGATCCGGATCTGCGTCGACTGTGACCAAGTCGTGTTGCGAACTCAACCCTTCGATCCCAATCCCTCCAAAATGACCTGTCCAGAGTCAGCTGCAAAGGCCTGATACACACAAAGGAGTGTCCCTCACCTTGCACTTGTTGAGGAAACCTTATTCAAGGTCCAGCTCAGCTGACCTCACGTTTGTCGGTCTACGCGCTCATCTCCGCATGGCTTCCTTTACAGGCGAACCGGGAAAGCTCATCGGATGCCAATGCACGGCCAGCAGCCTGATCGGAAGGCAGGAGAGCGTTGCCTGCTTCATCAGCCCGGCATCAGCTTCTGCTCATGGCGTGAGCAAGCCACACATGATGGGAAGTATGATGGGACCTGTTCTTCAAACGAAAGGAGGCCCGAGCTCCGAGTTCGGAACACGTTCCGGTCCGAAAAAGGCGGCGCCTTCGAGGCCATTGACCGCTCCTTCCAGGCCTTTGAGGGGCAGCCGCACGGCTGGCAGCCGAAGAGGGCGTGGGTGCACGCTGTTGGTTGCGATGAAAGGTGGCCAGCAGCGAAATTTGAAGTCTTCGACAGCGGGTTTGCTGCAAAGGGGTTGAAAGGCACACGTGAGCACGAATGAATCAAGTCAAAGAACTTGAAATTGAATCCAGAGTTTGGGATGTTATCCACACGTATCCACACCTGAGATGGGTCTCCCTAAAGATGGGCCGAGGTTTGTTCAGCTTCCTACTAGGCCTGCGCATACCGAGGCTGCTGATCTGCTAATCTTCTCATCCTCGAGTTCTCTTTTAAGCTCTATGGGCAAGGCGGGTGTCAAAAGGTGAGCAGACTTGTGGTAGACGGCCGGCTGCAAAAAGAATAACACTCTTCTCAGCAGCAACAAACATCACCCAGAAAAAAACTGGTCCCTGAATTCCCACGTGTTCTTGTGAAAATGGTGGTTCTATAGATCCACTGTCTGTGTAGGAGGCACCCATCCCCTGCTACCCCTTCCCCACACCTCAGCCGCCCATCGCATTGCTGCGGCCAATGCTGACTCATCCAGCCTAGGCGCCAGACGTGGAAGGCGCGCCAGACTCCCAAGCAAGCTCACACGCACGCGCATCTCATCAGGGAGGTCATAGATTGGCCTACTGAAGGCCTACTGAAACAGGAAATCATTGCTGAGATGGAGTGAGTGCACCAACCAACTCTTTGCAAAATTTGTGCATCGCAGGACGTGCCCGGAGTTCCTTCACGATGTGCCCAAAATCACCCAGTGAAGACTTCTAACGTGAACAAAAAAGCGTACAAGTTCTACAAGGGAATGTTGGATGAGGTCGGTTCTCACCCGCGCGAGAATTTGGGTCTCTCCTCATGTGTCCTCCTCTCCGTGGATCGCCCCATATTGCCCAGCAATCCAAACACTTGCATTGCTCAATCTGCCTACACCAGTCACTTGAATATCCTGCACAGATTTCAGGAAAGCAAAAACATGAATTTAGCATAGACGTTTGCAACAAACTACATGAGAACTCGGCTTGCAGGGAACCCTCATGAGTTCAGCAACAGCTTCGCATTGACTCAGCCACCAGTTCTTTTTGTGAATCACTTCTCATCAGTGGCGGTCGTAGGAACACCTATCTGAAGATTTGACAACTGGCAACATCTTTCGGCCCCGACCATCTTGGAATGGAAAATGACGGAACAGGTTGTCTAATTTCAATCTTATTTACGATGAATGTTTGCCCAACGGATGCAGCTCAAGAGAAAAAACAGCACATATAGAGCACGTGCAAACATGTTGAAGGCAAACCGTTTCGTTTATTGATCAATGCAAGAGTCCGGCAGCAAAAGGAAATCCTGCTGAAGGATAGGATGAGACAAAGGTTGTAAATATTCCAGAGGTTCTGTTGTGTTGCTCCTGTCCAAACCAGGACTGCACTATGGTACACCCGGTCACACCCTGTTACCCCTTAAAACTGGAAGACCCATGTGACATGTGGTAGTCTCTTGGCAATTTGATGCAGCTCACCCACGTGAACATCACTTGCATCTCCAAGCAACTTGGCCTCGCTCTCCGCATTCTCCACCGGACCAGCTGCTGGTTTTGCCACGACCCCGGGACCCGGCGCTGGTCGCCGCACTGCCTCGAAGGGGGGTTGATGGGCAGGAAGGCTTGCAAGTCTGGAAGTTGCCAATGGCCAAAGGTAGGTGTATAATTTAAGTTTGGGTTGAGTCCTGAGATGGGAATTTGAGATGATTTGATGCAAACAAGCCGTCATCATTTCTCCATACCGGGTGAATCTCTCAGTGTCTCTCAAAGGCGAAGAAACTCACCCAAATCAAATCGATTAACACATAGAGCAACTCTACGAATAGACTAGCTGAGAAAATTTAGTTTCATGATTGCACCAAGGTGTGCTATCAGGCCCTGGGTCTATGACCAAGCAAGATCGAACAGGTCATGCTCTGGTACAGCAGTTCCTTTTTTTTCTCAGAGTCGGAAACACAAAAACACATGCTCTTCTCGTCATGGCCCATGGCACTTGCCACTGGGGTCTGAACAAAAGGAACACACGAACGGTGGCACACACCAGAGAAGTGAGTCGTACACCTTCGTTTGGGTCTTCGGGCATCCCTCAAAGCCAATTGCGCACTTGTTTGTGTTGCTTTGTCTGGTTCATCTCTGGGGGAGTCCACAGGGTTTGCCGGGCCAAAACCACAAAGAATGGACCTTGCAGTGCCAAAAAACACCTAACAACAAAAATGGCAAAACACTTAACAACAACTTCAATAGCAATCATGTCTTTTGAATTGCGGGAGACCATTGTGTTTGTCCAGAAAAAGCCCCAACCTCTCAGCTGTTCTCAGGTGAACCACGGTGAAGCCCCTGGTGTTTTGAGGGCGAAATAGGAATGCCCCATATTGAAAGAAAATATAATTGTTATATGTTTTTGTTTTTGTTTTTAATGCCGTATAAATGTCATGGACCCTGAAAATAGACTTTGGAAGAATGCCTCAGTCTACAAAGCTGTGCTTGGCATGTGCGTGTTCCTCTCTTCCTCTCCAAGAATTGAATCAAGGCCAATCGAGCTCTCTTTCCTTTCCCTCTTACAGGTTAGGTCATGTTCAGTAGTTGGGGCTCCGTAGTGCTACGCAGCTGCAACTGTAGTCTCCAGTTTTCCAGTGCAGTGCATTTAGGCTAAAGGCCTAAAGGTTGCGGCAAAAACCCTGGCCCTGCACATACACTTGTCAAAGAAACAATCTTAAACCATGTTCCTCCACCAACTCCTTTCACACATGCCTTTCACACATCAGCTGAACACATCTTGCCCTCCAAAACGGACCACTCCAGTCCGCCTTAAACGGCGCGACCGGCACTTTCGAAGAGCTTCCCCAGAAATAGTCGAAGCTCTCCTGCCGCTCGCTGTACGTCGGTCGTTCGGACTCCGGACCCGAAGGGAAGGAACAGGTGTCACCCGGTCCAAGGCGACGGAGTTGGTGTCACTCTGACTTCATCCACCACTGGAGCTGACTGAACTTGTGAACTAACCACTAAACAAACTCGTGGAGGCCCTGCCACGAAGATTTGACACAATGTGTTTTGTCCTTTTTATGTCCATGCCCACTTCCAGTTGAACAGATCTTAGTTTAGTGATGTTTACGGGAGCATACCGTACACACAGGAAACATATCCACTGAGCACATTCTGCTGTTGGATCTCCTCCTTGGAAGAGGGTTGCAGCATCTGGATAATCTTCTTCTCAGCTTCTTCTTGGGCTCCTGCCAAGAGCAGGTTGGTCATGAGATGCAAGAACTCAATCTTCAGAGGATATTGAAGGATCCGGTCATTCATGGACACAGGGTCGTCCTGCAAAGAGACGTAAGGATGAATTCAGGGATGTTCAGTTTGGGGGATCGTTTGTGGCATGTTGAGAAGGAGGTCTGAGGTTTTTGATTTATATTCCAATCATTCAAGAGCTCCACTGGGCCTTAAATGCAAAGGTGACGACCAAGCTGCAAGGTGATTTGCTGCAAGCCCTATTTGGGTTGCACAGCAAAACTCAAGTGTCCTTCACGTCTCAGTGTTGCAGAAGCCTACTCTTGATTTACGTTCGTAAGGAGTCTTGAAGGACCTCCACCCCCTCGTTGAACCAGCAAATACACATGTCAACGCTACACCTCATCAATCATCAACCAGCCGCCTCTACGTTTGAGCTTGCTGCTCCATCTATTTGTCTAGCTCTCTCTCTCTCTCTCGTTCTCTCTTTCTCTTGTGTTGTTCGTGAGGGTCCCGTGTAGCTCCAAATGTGCTGGTGGTTGGAGTGGATCGAAAAGCTCGGCATCCGACAAGTTGACAGGCATCAAGTGGTTCAAAAGACTTGTCATTGAATCACTACAATGACAATGAATCAAGTTAAAAGAGTTCATTGGATTCAATAGGCCAACGAACTTGAACCGCCAGAGGGGCGCCCCAGAGTTGTTTTCCATCGGACTGGCACCAATGCCCAAGGACGCCGTTCCATCCATCCGAAGGTTTCATGTAACGGGCAGAAGGGGAACAAAGCATCAAGCATGTTGCCTTGTTGTTTCTTGGACCATCATGTTCTCCTACGAATGCACTTCCAGGTGAAACAAAAACACTAATACGTGCCTGGAAACCGCACCAAGGTGTTATCCTGCCTCAAGAAGGCAATGCCTGTGAGTCACTCCTGCAGAGTTCTCTTCCGTAGAATCTTCAATCTCGGATACTGCTTCCAAAAGCAAGCCCATCTCGGGATGATGCACCATCACCCAGCCATCTTTCTTCATCACCTAGCAGCTAGCAGCTTCGGCAGACTTCTGGGAGGGCACCTTCACCAACTAACACCGAAGAAGACCAGGTGACTTGGGGAAGGCAAGGCAATACTACCATAGCACATGTGCCTTTGGTGAGGGGCAAACCGAGCTTCCAAACATTGAAACTGCCCCATGTTGCAACCACCAGCGCCAAACTGAGATGAAATTGCCAAATCTTGTGACAAATGTGCAATCTTGAGCATAATTAGTTCGTTTTCGCTTGTTCTGAATGCAAACATTTGGATCTACCTCCAGGTCCATCCAAATGATGAGTTGGCTTTCTGGGTCTCAAAAACCGGGACCGAGGGAACTGCAGTAGCTTGGATCATTCGTGGTCAGCCTTCAGCCTGAAGCGATTCTCTTGTCTCGGAAGACGCTTCTGGTTAAAGAACACCACGGTTTGATGGAATTTGCATGTGTTTTGTTCATAGCACAGTTGCCACATGTTGCCAACTTCAAGCTGTAAAGCCATCTTGTGCTCTTCTTCTAGGTGGTGCAAGTGGGATGTTTTCTCAGCTTTAGGGTAGTGCACAACAATCCATGCCATGCCCTCAACAAAAATCAATGAAGTATAGTGAAGTTATTCAAATTCCTTGAAAGGTGGGAATACCCACAGGTTGGTGCCACCTCTGAGATTTGACTTCTGAGATTTGACAACACATCCATCATCCTCTATCCAAAGAACCCCCACCCCAACATCAGACACGTTCACTGCTTGAACCAATTCGGCCTTTTCGCAAAAACGCCCAGTTCTCCTCACGCCGGCCACGATCCACGCGCTGCCAAAGCACCAAGTCGTCATCGGAGTCCACAACCTCCACTTTCTTCGATCGATCTACCCAACCTCATTTCGAGGCCGTTGCGGCGTCGGCGAGCGTCAATATAGAGTATGTTTGACTATTTCCGCAGTTGACCCCTTCAGTTGTACCAGAAAATAGAGGTTAACTCACGATTTCCTATTCTATCTGCAGTCCAAAGTCCTGACGCTGGTAGCCCCCGTTGACTCTGTCGAATCAGATTTGGTTAATTTCAACTTATTAACGATTGGGGAACCTAATCTACTGTGACCGGCTAGGCCCCTGGACCACGGTCATTGGGTCTCTCCCACCTGAGGACGTGGGTTGGGTCTCCTCCACCTCAGTATAGTGGCCCCGCAAAAAGAGAGAGAGCGAGAGAGAGAGAGAGAGAGAGCGCCGGGGGATCTGCACCAAAAAAGGGTGTGTTGAAGAGAAATGAAGAACACCCAAACAAATAGACGACCCCATGTAAACCACATGTAAACGGTTCAAAGTCTTCTAAAACGATCAACATTCAATCATCTACCCTCCTCACATCTTAATCTCCCAGCAGCATCGTTTCTCGTTGTCCCAGTGAGGAGCCTCTGTCGCCCACCTGCCCCAACATGCGCTTCCCAGGCGGCTTCGGACGCCCAACGAGGGTGTCAAGGGTGTCAAGGGTGGAATGCCCTGTCGCATGTTATTGCTCAAATACTCCATGTATGGAACATAACGAAAGATTTGCTTATATAATTACATTGACCCCTAATGCTACCCCAATGTTAGCAAAAATGTCCTAAATGGAGTGTCTGGGTTATGATGTTTAGGTTTCAATATGAGTGGAGTTCTTTCCTTTCCCAACGACCGGATTGGTCCACGTTCTTTCCGTCCAGTTCCTTTCTCTGCACTTCTTCAAAATGGACACATCCTGAAAGAACAAGCAAATCAAAGGAAACCTCAGACTCCCAACCGCATGATCAGCGGACGAAACCCATGCCGTCGAAACCACCCACGCGCACGCAAACACGCACGGGTCGCAGTGGGATGGCCCTTCGATTCCTTGGGAGCTGAAAATGGTCACTGTCTGTGCAGGACTCCTTTTTCGGCATGACCAATGGGCTACTCTAAGCTACGACATCACTTTGGATCGTCCAGGTAATTATATATGGATTCACTCCATCGCAACCCCAAGTGGCCAAAAATTATAGTAAAACACTAAAACAACCTTCTGTCCACTGTCCAGCACAAGCTCCTATACATATATCACCTGAAAGATTATATAAAACTATCCACAAAAAGAGTCTCACAACCATGAGGGCAGAGAAGGTTGAATGTCACGCGATTCCAGGCTTGACTGGCGACAACCTCAAACCTGTGCCAAAATTTTCTTCAAGATTTTCCCTCCACTGGAAGAGGAAAAAGAACTTAGACATCTTAGACTGCATAACTGCATAAAGCAACCCCCAACCGCCAAAACCTCGTTCCCTGCTGGCATGCCTTCCCTGCAATAAACATAAAAACAGACTGCGTAGCAATGGATTCTGACTTCCAGATTTGAAGGGGTCAGTTGATTGGCAATCACATCGAAGAAAACCTCTCAATAGGAATTCCTGGCCCAAATCCCCTAAGACTCTTTTTTGCCAGTCCCTGCATAAACCACCACTTGTGAAGACTGAGCGCTGCATGCCTTGACGGCAATGTAATTCTCCTGGTTGTGACACATCTCGTCACCAACCGTGTCAGTTGCCTGCTGCCCACGCTGATCCGGCAGCTGCCTGCGCTGAGCTTCTGATAGCCGCGGTTTGGGCTTCTTCTCCACATCAGATGCACAGTCCTCAGCACCAGGCCTGTACTGTGATGTGATGGGTGATTGAGGTAGCAACTTGCGAAGGTTTTGCTATTGAATATTGACATTGTGTGTGTGTTTTGTTTGGTTTTTTTTTAAACATCGATCTGCAACAAGGAATTCAAGCACAAGTGCGATCATTTGCCAAACATGAGGCTTCATGTCGATTTCACCTGGTTGGCAAATCATGCTGCAGCTGAACCTCTTGGGATTTAGAACCCTTCCAAGCTCAGTGCTGGTGGTGAGAAGCGCGGACTTAGTATGCAATGGATTTGTAGGGCACCAAAAGCACACTCCCATTGGATCCTGGAGCTGCAGGAAGCCATATAAATTTAAAAATCCATATACCAGTGGAGGTCTTGGGGCACTCCAGTGGGTTGTGACCATTGTGATCCTCCGCTTTCTGGTTGTAGCGAGGTAGCTGGGCCCCGTTGAATCCGAGGAACAGTGAGGGAGGGAGTGTCTGGACTGCCTGTCTCAATGTGAGAGAGTCCTAGGCAATGAATTGGCCTCTAACTTAGAAGCAATGGCCTCCAACCTAATAGCAACGGCCTCCAACCTAGGCTACTTGTTTTTCTTAAATTTGGTGTCCTTTTCGCACTATGTATTAGCTTGATCGAGCACGTTGATAAAATCAATGTGATAGGCGATCGATATGAACGGGTAACCAAGCGGCCCATGAACTTGTAGAAAAACACATGTCTGGTGCACGGTCTGGAAGGTCTTTCCACAGTCACCTCACAACCTCCACATGTGCAACCAAGCTTTTGCACCTCATCATAGTGCCCAAGATCCCCCCAAAACCATGTATACAATAGTGTGTATGTAATATACAGTATATATAGACTTCCCTCTCGGAGACCTTTTTAGATTTCCCTCCAACAAGATCCCTCAGCTTCGTCACATCTCGTCGGACCCATCGCCCAGACTCCACGGAGACTCTTCGCCAGCCTCAGGCCGTAGAAGGAGGTGCTCCCGCCAGTGGTGTTACATCCAGCGGAGCTTGGAGGATGTTTGCACCAACATCTACCAGCGAAGACAGACATGGAGCCAAATATGGCCAAGGTGGAGCCAAATATCATCAAGTATATATGAAGTGTCAAGCTCCTGCACATTCGGGAGATCATTTTGGGGACACATGCCTACTATATAGCAGTCATCTGAATCTGTTCATTTGGGGAAAGGACAGCATAGGTGTAGAACAGAATCGGATGAAATGAATGTCATGTATAATAGAGTCCAATCTGAAAAAAAGAAAAAAAACAAACTGATCCAATTTGACATAGACCTGATAAATTGTGTTGGGACCATTTCATCAAATCAAGGACGAGGACTGCCAACATTACAGTATCCAAAATATCCTTGGTGCTCGGATTGGTTGAAAAAACACAACCATGATGTAAACTAATTGTAATTAAACATCATGTGACTACATGCTGACCAGTCCTGCCACGCAACAAACTTATATCTAGCTACGCCTCTCAATCGTGGCTCCTACAAAGCCTGTCTTGATGAGCAAACCATTTCTCCTCTCTGCCTCCCTTCACCGTGGTCATTCCCAAGCCTTCACTCGATAAACCCGTCGAGCAACTTCTGCTGCTGTCCCACTCGAACATCTCCACCTTCGCCCCGTTGTTGAGGCGCCGCAGGAAAGGGGCCTCGAGAAGAGGCTGAGCTGGAGAACTGGCCAGAAACTCCCTTGAGGAAAAAGTATCCTGATGACCATCTGGGATGTATGAAGCCCTGTAAAAAAGTATGTAACAGTAGGTCGAACATCATCGAATCATCCATCACATCTCAGCTGCTGCAGGATATCTTTCTTGAACACTTATGATCATGCATTCCATGTATGCTGAGTGGAAAAGGCTAAGTAAATACCATATCCAAGTTGCCTAACCATGCCTGTCCCAAGCGCGACTTCCGCACATCATCTGATGTAACCAGGTCACCAACAAAGAAGGTGTTTTTAAGAAAGAACCGTCATGTCGAATCACCTTCGACTACTCCAGGCTGAAGGAGTCTATCAAATCTGAGATATTCTGCTTAAAAGAACTTGCATACAAAGGCTGTAATTGCTTGTTTGCTTGGCAGGTTGCAAACATGTACGCACCTGCACCGGAGCAGCCCAACATTGATTGGGTGCGGATACAAAGTGAATGCTGTCTGCACTGAGAGCGCTCGATGAAAGTGTCAACAGGCCAACATTGATCATGAATGCTAATTGTTTCGTTACTTGTTCCAGGCTTGTAGAAAGAGCGTCATTTCTCAATACCTATTTGAGAGTAATGATTTCAAGCAGGCGGTACTTAATAGCCATGGACTTTCCGTAACAATGAACTCAAAAGAGTGAAGGCATTCAACAATAGAGCTCCAGTTTCAACATCATGAGCCAGCCATGAGTCTGTTCCTTTAAGTGTGACTCTTGCGGTTTGCCCTAACCGATGAGAAAATAGGGAAGTACGGTATTTATCATACACTTTACACGGATCAACGCTCAACAACGGGGTGGCCACCACGGGTGGCGCACCACACGGGTGGCCAACCCACCCCGCTGCTTGATGCGGCCTCGATGGAGGGCGACGACCGGACTGCTACGAACTTGGCGATGACCCGGTACCTGGGGCGAAGGCGAGGAGTTCGAGTCGAATCGGTCTTCGGTTCCTATGAATCGGTCGGGAGTTAGGGATTCGCAGGTTTCCAGTCAGAAAGGAGTTCGTGCTTGGTGAGGATGTCGCAGTCTATGGGAAGCTACAACTCTTTTGATGAATACATGTGAAATATGAATATATATATATACCTGCGGAACCCTAAACGCAGGAATTCCTCCAGCAAATTGATATTCAAATGAATTTGGATTCTGACAGCCAATTGTCGCAGCAGTACGCCAATTTACGGGTCAGTACGGCTTTTCTTGGGGCACAGCTTTTTTGCGCCTTTTGGTTCAAGGTAACCTCATTGCATTTCATGCAAGTGACGAGCGACTAGCCAACCTTCGGGCACGGATCCACAACAACAAAACTTGGGTTATGTGCCTCTCCATTGCCCTTTTGATACGTGCCCTTGGACTAACAACACGGGTCAAGGCACAAAATCTCCCGATGAAATCCTCATCCATCGGGACTGCCTGACTCATTGGGTTTTCGCAAAACTCACCTGACAACTGAATCTGGCCCTTCATGGTTTGAATCACGTGGTAGCACATGTGGAGTTTGGGCATGAGAGCAAACCTGGCCTCTTTCAACTGCCAAGACAAAAAGGCTAGCCTCTTATAGGCCCTCAAAAAGTGCACCCCTGCGGCATGGATACCTGCCCAATCATTTGCACGAATGAACCAGCTCGCTTTGTACAATGATCTCATGAAGTAGTTCATAGCTCTCGACGAAGAGGCCTTGGATGTGCCCACAACACCTTTTCTTTGCCAAACGAACTCACTCAAGAACACACATTGATTACTAAAAACTTCACCTCATGAAGAACAGCAAGCTGCTATCAAACGAATCCTCTCATCACCCGATTCTTGCAAGTCATGGGAGCGACAAAAATGTTCGATGTACTGGCACAGAGTAGTTGTCAAGGCTGCCTTACTCCAGGACCCATGCGTTTCTGCGGATCCAATCCAGCCAACTAGCGCCCGGTCAATCTTGTTCACGTAATTGGTTTTTCCATGTTCCTGATGTCTCCAACAACAATGAAAGGAAGTGCCCCCTCCGGCCCATATTCCAAGCACACACTGGACACTATAGACCATATCAAAACATTGCTAGTAACAGCCAAAGTTCCTTGCAATATTCTATATACTGCACTGTAAGGTTTTTGAACCTTGCCTCTATCGAGGAACCAGGGAGCAATTCTTGTAAAATAGCTAGAGAGGATGCAGCAAACGTCTTGCCCAGGCCCAAACTCACCGTGTGGAAGAGGTCAATTTTATGAAACCCTGCTTTTTGATCCGGCTCGTGCATCAAAACTCTGGTGAAAGAAGCCTCATTCGCCCAGGGAATCTCCTCTTCAATCGTGGCGAGGAATGACGGGTTATCTGACCTTACGAAAAACACGGGTTTTATGGGCTGCCTGACATCCAAACAACAAGCATGGTCCATATAGGTTTCACAGTTGCTGTGTTTGGGGGTTCGTATAAAGGTTTACCATATCAAGCAGAGGTACACATCTTCGTACGGGTGCCCTGGCTGCCCTCCCCTGCACAAGTGGCATATGCCAGTGCATGGCCGTGAAGCTTCGGAAGCTTTCGGGACATTCCGGAAGCTGCGCTGAAGTCCAGCGGATGAAACCTGACAGTGGCAATCAGCAAACAGACCGACACAACTAAGAGACAATCACGTGCCCTGTGCACTGTTTCGTTTTGTGCCCAATCGACAAGCAACGAGGTATGGCCAATCTCCCTTGTTTCCAATTGGTATTGGGAAAAGTGTCGTTCCACCAGTCAATGTGACCCCATCACGCGAAGCTTTGTCCAAAGAGTTGACGACTATGTCCAGCAATTCTGTCATGACGCCCGAGTCTTCTCTGTAATCTTCCTCAAATGACAACCAATTGCCTTTGAATAAAACGGTGTAACTGCATAAAACCCTAACACAACAAAGCAACATAGTTTCTTACAACAGGTCAAGGCACCTTAAGCAAGCTTCCCAGCAAAAAGCAGGTTTCAAACGCATGCCCAATAAAGTTCACGTGGTGCTCTGTTTGAACATCCCCACAATCAATGGGCCCCAACTTGCTAGACAGCGTTCCTCTTCCCAGGGGGGAGTGAATAGAAAGACAGAGGCAACCATCTTTCTTGTAGGTGATGCCTTCATCACCGTGAAGGTAAACCGGCACGCACTGCCTCAAAACATCCCGCTTGAGGCCAAACACTTGATGAGATCCATGTAGGACCTCAAACTTCTTCCAGAATTCTTCTAAAGAACCCCCCATCTCTCTGAAAGGTGTTCCGAGTGTGCCAAGCCCAGTAAACCTGTAAAGTTTTCCGGCTTGGTCTAAAGCTTTGATCCACGATCCAACTTCAATGTAGGGGTAACTGTGATCATTGCCCACTTTCCCGAAAGATATGTCCACTGGAAGTCGGAGCCCATGCTTCGCAAAGACTCGAGCTACAATGGTTTCCTCAGCGTTCAAGCGGAAGCGCCGTGAAAGGGCGAAATGACATTGCAAGTATGTCGCTCAACAAAAACATCAGGACATGGTTCCGATTTGGATTTTTCTCTACCATAGAGTTCTCGCAAAACAGGGCAGCACCGGGGTTGCATGGATGGATCGCAAATGAACTTCTGTTTCTCTTCCCGCCGGTCATAGTCCACAATAGAAGTTGCACGATCAATGATATCAACGCAAGGAGCCTTAGATCTCACACATGGTAACATGAGCCTAGACCTAGACCTCACACAAACATGAGACAGGGTGAGTGCCATGTCATGTCCGCTGAGTGGCGCCTCTCGAATAGCTCCACGCCAAGTCTTCCGCAGCAGCGGATGGACCTGGCCCGATGCAGGTTGCTGAATTGCAAGGAAGATAGGGCGGGGAGGGAGAAGAGTCAGAGCACACACTCTTTTCCCAACGTTGGCACGCACAGCATGTCAAAGTCTAAGACAAGCAGTGCATGTTCGAAACCTATTTGAGCACACCGTTTCAGGTATGCACCCCGGATTTGGAATCAGGTTCATCCTGAAAAAGAAGATGCAGGCACAGCCCTAGGCCAACTCTGAACTAGAAGCAAATTTGAAAGAAACAAACGTCCACGGGAACACGACAGCCCTCTAAGCTGCACCTGCCAATTTCCTCAAAATGGCAATGCGTGGCAATCCCTGACGCATTTACACAGGAATGAGGATCTTTGAGCGATGCCACTGACACCACAGTTTTTTGAACAACCGCCAAATACAGTAGTACAGGTCGAGGTGCGAGTTGTTTCTCAAGAGTGGCTGCCCAAAGCTCTTCAGAACCTAGGCATCCGCTTTCGCCTTTGTTTTAGCTTTGCCCTTTGCCTTGGGCTTTGCCTTGGCATCCGCCGGGTGAGAGTTACTATCAGCGTTGCGCTTGGCACCTTTGTTCTTCTTCACGTCGGCCAAGAGTAGCCTTGGTTAGTCTTAGTCACCCTTCGAACATGAAATCAAACGCATTAGGAGCGACCATGGGACAACACGAGGTTTCAGGCTGCACAAAACGGCATACGACAAGAGCGATCCATGTTTGCGGACTCTTGCAGTAGAGAAGCTTTTGCCTGGAATCCAATGCAATAAGATCAGCACACCTTTAAGTCAAACAATGTGATTCCATTGCCATTTTTTAACAGCAAAGGCTCGATGCGATGCAAACTATCTACTGACCAAGCTACGGTTTCTTGGCTGACACTTTCACTGCGTCGATCTTTTTTGCGTAACCTTGCATGGTGAAAGACTAGTGCATGGGCAACAAAGGGTAACTATGATGTTCAAGTTTGGAAAGGTATCGGCCATCCCAGACAGCCGATCGTGACCATTTTCCTTAGAATGTTCCAATGTGAACTGAACCCACGCGCAAGTTTATACATTCAATCTGCAGACATCAACAGAGGCTCCTAAGATCTTCGAAGCGGTCTCGGAACACAACATTGTAGTGGTCCAGGTGATGTGGCCTGACCAGGGAACCAATGCAAGACTTAAAGGCTATCAGTGTGAGATTGGACTTTCCAAGGAGGTTATGTAGTTTCCTGGGTTCAAGAACTGCCCGCACCTCATGAGGCTTCTTCTTGATGACCTGGCAAGGGTGGGCCTCATCACGCAAGCAGGTCATCTTGGCCAGCAAGTGGGGGCTGGAGCAAGGATCGGGGAAGAAGGAAATGAACTATAGCATTAAGATATTTTAGGCTAAACTGGTTGCAATCCAGGGGCCTTAGAGTTCAAGTAGAAGCAATTGAGAATCTTCCGCGTGAGCACGGCGTAATAGGCCAATCCAAACCCACAGGAGCAAGCAAAATGACATTGCTCCCAGTGTTCACTCCCAATAGTATTACATGCGTGTATACAAAATTGGACATCATGTTGAAAACTAGTGAGCTCCTCAAGGCCAGGCTTGAAGACAATTGGACATATGGAAAAATGGTTTCACAGAGCCGTTCATCCCAGGAAACTCTGCGGTAGCCTCCTGGGCCTCATCGATGGAAAGCTCAGCTTTGAGATCAGCCGCAGCCCTAAACACCGAGTTGAGATTCGTCACGACCTTGTTCACGTCCTTTACCAACCTGAGTAGACCCCGTGTTTTGACTCCAGCGTGTTGCTGTTTAACCACGATGGGTTGTGGTTTACTTGTGACCCTTCGGAACAAAGAAGCTGGGGCCATGGCTCGTCCACAGCTGCTTTCGTTGATTTTTCACCCCCGGATTCAAGCTCAAGTTTTCCACTCATGGCATGGGCCTGCATGATCTTGTTGTGGACCGAGTCCATGAATTTTACCAAGTCGGGCAAAACCTTCACGCAGAAAGTGATCCCCAAAAAATACACAGTGGTAGTCATACAAGTTCACTCGTTCATTGTTGTTTGTTTTTTGCATCATCAAAAGCCTTCGACCCCATTTTCTCAGGCTCCGGTGTGTGTCCCTCTTCAGTGACCGCAGCAAAACCCCCCCAGC